ACGACCGCGCCACCGCCACAATCAGTTTAACTGTCCAACAACATTACGCACTGCCACTTCGTGTATCTTCGTGAGAAGACCTCTACTTGCTGCACTTGAAGAGGCACAAACTGACAAAGTTACCGTTTGCATCAGTCGTGGCTTCGACAATCGCTTGCGGGCACAATCAACTGAAGATGTTGATGCATTTTGAACTCGATGCGTGCGATTCGGGAAGAGGCCCTCCCTGAATCTGAGGCAAATGTTCCCGTTCCCTCTGGTCTGGGCTTGTGGCTGCAATCGTCTGAGGCTGCGGTCGTGCTCCCGATGTTCGGGCTGACCTCGAGAGTCGCTGAAGGATGGCTGAATGCCTTTGCGACACGGCGACCGGCCGTGACCGGACTCGCTCAGTGCGGGGCTGCGGTCGCCTCGCGCGGTTGCCGCCCTGCCTGTGACAGAAAATCTTCTCCAAGCAGGGCTGCACCCGTACAAGAGAATCACAGAGACGGCTCTGAGGCGAAGGCACTGGTGGCGCGGACGGCGGCCGCACGGGAGTGGGCGTAGGAGTCCACGGTCTAGGGATCTGGCCTCTCTCTCTTCAGGGCACACAACAGAGATTCTACATTCTGCCGGACAGCGCGGTGCTCGGCTGCCGGCCTGCAGGCATCGAAATGCGTGGATCTGGCCTGGCCGTCACTGGGCCCCGCTCGGCTGCCGTCTCGTCCGCGGAGCTCTCCGGGGCCCTGACTCGAAGACTCGCGGGTTCCCCGGGTAGCCTTTGGCCATGTCCTGCGGGGTGCTTGAGTCAGCATGAGCTGCTATGAACTCCTCTCGAATCCGACGATTCCACTCAGCTCCAGGCATACATGTGGGTGCCTAGGCCGAACACTCTCCCAAGTTTTCGCCGGCCAAGTGAGACAGCTCATGTCTTGCCAAGATGCATGGACCTCTCTGTTTCTGAAAGACCTTCCGATTGTGCTCGTAGGCAACCTGTCCAGACTGGAAGATGCATCAACCGACCAGTTTGGGGAAAGACTGTGTGTTTGAGGCGCTCAGTCTCAACTATGCCAGCTGCAATTCGACGCCTTGACATGAGGATTGGGCCGTGTTCTCCCTGCACAGCAGAGGTCCACGAACCTGCACAGCACTAAGTAAACTCATGCGCTACTCTGCGAGTACTGCCTCCCGGCCCCCACTCTGTTGTTGTCCCGCCCGACTCAGACTCACGGCAGACCATCGTGGCTCTTCCCCGCAGCTGAGATCAGAGCTCAGACAGTCCCTTTCGACGGCCTTGCGGCGAGGGGTGACTTCATGGCACTCAAGCTCGAGCAAGACGGTGTCTGTGCTACTGAGGGCCCTGCCTTTCTTAGGCGGGGCAGCCTCCAAGCGGCGCACCATCTGACAGACTGATTTGTTCCGGGTCTTATGCACAATACTTGACAATAAGGGGCTGTCAAAGTGACACGTTCATTCAATCTGCAATTTCATTCGGCTAAATCCTTTTGACCCTGAGTCCCTCCCGGACCTCTCGATACTCGTGTGCCTCGGCACCAGCATTTCTTATCCTACTTTCCGTGCCAGCACACCGGATGCCGGGTGCCGGGCGGACGGCTCGCACTTTTGGACATTGCCGTCTCTATTCACATAGACCTCCACCTGTGCCGTAAAAGACAGTGTTCATCGGAAAACATGCACCCTAATGATCATGCGATCACAACAGCAGCACACAATGTGTCCTCGTGGGTGATGGGATTGTACCGGAGCTCCTCCGGCAGGAATTGCCTCGACTTACACCGGCTGTAAGCTCAGAACGGTGCAGACCGAGCTTACAAGACCGCAAGACCGGTCTGAAGAGTCTCAGCGCAGGGCCGATTCGGCGCCCAGCCGGCATCCTGGAGCCAAAGCCAGCACCAGGGCTGCTCCGGACTGCAAGCTCAGCGGTTACTCAAAGGAGCCTCCGCCATGGCAATGTCCGGGCCAGCGCCAGGGGGCTGAGCGTCGGGAAGCACAGCGTGATAACGGGACAAGGACAGTGGGAGCGTGCCAGGGCAGTGCATCCCCTAGGTGCCTCCCGTCTACGTCAGAAACTTAAAAATCACGAATCGTCAGGCCCTCAGAGTCGGCCTTGCAATGGACCTCTGCAACAAGCGCTTCGTCTGCAGACTGCCAAGCCTCGGCTGCGTCTCGACCACCCGGAAGGGCAAGCTCCGACTGAGCTTCTGGCCCGTACGGCCCTGGGCGTGCGCATGCCAGCCGGCCGACCCACACCTCGGCGGCGAGGCCGCTCAGTCGAGGCCGCGTTCTGGACTGCTGGGGACATGGCCCGGGTCCGTTTGTGCCGCCCGCAGCCTTTGGGACGATCGCTCTCTTCTAGTTCCAGCGTCTCTAAACCGACATCGCGAGGCTTTGAGGCACTGGCGCAGGAGGGCCAGGACGTCCAGTGGAAGGACGCCGCAGCTCCCGTCTCGGCTCAGCTGGGGTGGGCACAGTCGGTGCCGCGAGCCATTGCGTTGGAACATCGTCCGCACTCCCAGTGAAACCCGGTGCACGGGGATATGCATTGTCACGAAGTGTCGCTTGCGTCGAGGAGGTGCAGGCAGCCTTCGCCGGCAGCCACAGTCGGTCCCTGTTGGACGCATCTAGGTCGGCTTTCGGCGACGCAGCCACAAGTGCTGCTGCCAGGGCTGTGCCAGCACTGGTGTGGGATTGCTGAGCTCCGCAGCTTCTGCTGAAGTCAGGTCCACCGTAGAGTCGAGCGCCTGCCATGTACTAACAGCACAGGCAGGCCCCGGGCCCCCGCAGGGGGCCCCGGGGCCCAGAGGCCCCTTGATCCGAAACGCCTGCTGTCCACACAGCTCCACGAGGCATGTCAGCAAAAGCCAGCGATCAGCACTGATCCGCACGCCCCTGTTTTTAGGTTCTCTCGTTTTCCTTCGAAGCTCCCCACTGTCTGATCTGTGCGTGCCCCCCTGATAGGTCTGCATGGCATCTGACGACCGGAGGCCCTTCTGGGTTCCGGAATGTGGCCTTCTGCATGGCCTTGGCCATTGCACACGCGGTCCGCCGATGTCTGCCACCTTCGCTTCACGAAGGCCGGACAGCTGCAGCGTAGCTGTATGGTTGAAGAGGCTCCCCACAGTGACCTTGTACCATTCGGGATAAGTACAAGATGGCGTGGGCAGCCTTGGAGGAATATTTTGGGAACTCAAGAGCAAAGGCGGCTGCATTCTGTGCAAAGTTGGAGGGCAGCCGCCGAGCTGCGACTTCCCAAATGGAGGTTCGAGAGGAGCATTCCGTGCGGATAAACAGGTGGCAGGAAAAATCCCACAAGAGCACGAGTGCAACAGTGCGGAAGACAGTCACCAATCACAGGATCTTGCGATTAAGACAGTGTCTGATGGGATCACAACACCTGAATTCAGTTTCGTGGCAACCGAGATGGTTGCAATTCTGTCAATGCAATAAAGGCATTCAGACGGCGGCAGCTTGTGGCCAAAGCAGCACAGCTGCACGTAGCTCTCATTGGCATGTTCTCTCCGCGCATCTTCATTCACCGTCGCTCCAAAACAGTATGTGCTTCGTTGGCTACCTCGAGCGAGGGCGTCCAAGCGCAAGGTGCACCTTGGCTCCGAAAAGCCCCCCTTGGAATGACACGACTTTGGAGCTCAGCTCCTGCCCGCCTCGGGCTGCCTCCGCCGCGGGGTTGCGGTCGTGGTCACCTGGGCTGGGGAAGAAGGCTAGAAATCAAGAAATCTCGGGGGGCCCGGGGGGAAAAGACGCCGCCTTGGCTGGAGCTGATGCCCTGCTCGACGGCCGCTCCTGGCGGCCTGGCATCAAAGAAAAGGCTCCAAACGCTCATCCGACCTCCGCTCAGGCTGCACTCCGTGCCTGGATCTGAAGAGCTGGGAGGGAGCACTTTGAAGGCGCCTCTCGTCTTCGAGGTCTTCGAGGCTGGGAAGCACTGTGAGCTCCCCAGCACGTGCTCAGCACTCCACGGTTACCGAAGCACTCGTTCATCAGACCTGAGTCGCACGACGAATCCCCTTTACTCGTGCGGGCTGCGACCTACCGCAGACGTGACAAGATCCGGGCTGAAGCGCTCAGGGTAGCCGGGAGACTTCGAAGGTCGAAAGGCCGCCTCAGCCAGGGACGATGCGATGCTCTTCGTCTTGGGGTCTCCGCCACTCACGGCACAACTGTTCGAAGACGTGAACCGACAAAGCTTTGGGCTCGGACACACTTCTTCGCTGCTGCATCGGCCAAAGAGTTGGCCGTCGACGATGTCACCTACAGCAGCTTTGGCGTCAAGATGCCTGTTTAAGGATCTCGCGTTAACATCCTCCAGACCACTGTGCTTTTGGCGAGGGTACATTCGACTGGATGCTACAAGCGACCATGAAGAAAAGGGGTGCCCCACAGAAACTACAGAAGATGAAGTGTCGCTTCCCACCTGTGACGGTGGCCACTCATAGCAACGCAAAGGCGTGTAGCGCGCAGGGAGCGGTCTCAGCAGCTTTACATCCTGCCATGCCTCCGGAGGCAAGGATAGGATTTGCGACTGACTGAACGACCGGCCCTACCAGGAACATCGAAGGGGCTGTGGCCAGTATGTACTTACCAGTGACTGCCGAAACAGACAGCCCTTGAAATTGTTCGTTCAGTTTTGAATTGGCCACTCTCCCTTGTCTGAACCATCTTCACCTTTCCCACTCTTCAACTCGCTGCCCCATCTGCCCCTTCATGCGGCTCTCCAACCGCTTTTGCAACACACAAACACCTCGCCTGTCGAAGAGGCTCCCTTGGACCCATCTCCGAGCCCTGATGCGAACCGAGCAGAGCCGATCAGAGCAATTCGCCTGTGGGAGCTCTTACGCATTCGGTCGCCTCGGCCAGCAGAAACCTCGGCCCTCTCGGCGTCGTCGCCGTCGCACCTGCCTGAAGCTCGGAAGTCGCAGGTCTTAGCGGGTGTTTGACCCGGACACTTTCAGAGCTTTGACGCCTGGCTCGAGGGAGGCCCCTCGCGCGGCAGGGTGGGCCTGCGCTCGTCACCGACACGGCTGCAACCTTGAGACTCGAGATGATCCCAACAATCCCTGCGCCTCGCAGTAAGGTGACAAGGTTTCAGGAGCATGGCCTCAGGAAGACTCGCTGTCACACAACGTCGCACAGCGGAACACCGGAGAGAGCAACACGATTCCAGGGAGCGAGGCCCGAAGTGCACAGGCCGCGCAAGCGGCCAATTCCGGTCCCCGATGTGTCTGCTTGAACTTGTTTGCCTGATCTTGCTTTATGTGCTCCACTCTCTGGCCGCTCAGGCTTGCGTGTTCTTCCTGACTTGGACTGTGCAGCGAAGCCATCAGGCCAATGTGCGTCCGTTGTTGAGCTAGTCGTGTTGCGTGGCTGCAGACACTGCTATCATGCCGAAGACTCTTGAGAATTGAAGCGGAGGGCAAGGACTTGAGACAAGATGCCTTTAGGCTGGCGTTTGACAGCATTCCTCATTTTGTCCCGGCGCGGCGCGAACGCTTCGACATCAGCGCCTGCTCGAAGTTGCTGCAGCATCTGGTGAGCTGACATGGCAGCGCCGTTGGCCAAGCATGCACGAACAAGCCTCAGCAAGCGTGAGCGGTGGCGCGAGGTATAGCTACACAAGCAAGCGCACGCATGAGGAACCGAGCCCGTGCCAATGACCTGCCCTTGCTTCCTGGCTGAGGGAAGGGGCCCGGCAGGGAGGCCGCGGTAGAATCGTCCCTGCTGCCATGCCCGCACCAGCAGTCCACCGAGTCTGCCCACACCTGATTTGTTGCCGGGACTTGAGCGCTGATTAGGCGGTATCTGCTGGCTCGCCGAAATTGTCTTGACTTCGGATCACCCCAATCATGACCTTCGGTGAAGTGGTACTAGCCGCGCTCCACAAGAATGAACCATCGAGGCATGGCCGTTCCCTGACACGCACGACGTCAGACGTCTGGCTCCCGAAGCTGCCACCGCCTGCATCCGCCGGCGTCCGGGACCCCAGCACCTCGCGGCACAGCATCGCTTGGCCGAGTCTAACCCTAAGCGGCGAACTCCGATAACCAGTGCCTCGCTCTGCAGCTGGCTTTTTATCACGTCCAGCGGCCAAGCGGCTAGCCAGCCTTCACTTTGCTCGCAGAGAAACTCCCAACGGCGCGTGCAGAGTCGGTTACCCATACAGGGAAGAAGCCAAAGCGCTGATAAACACGACGTCGGGGGGCAGCAACTTGTCACTATGCAGCCTCGCAAGAAAGGATGCTGCCGGAAGTCCAGGAAGTTTACCAGCTCTCTGGAGCGGTTCAACCTGTCCTCGGTTGAGGGACGTCAAGGCTTCGTTCCCATCCTGCATTTTCACGTCGGTACCGAGCGACAGAAAGGACGAAGAAGAGGGTGACCAAAACCACGTTGCGGCTGCACGTTGCAGCGAGGCCTGGACACTTTCAACGTGGGAGGAGCGGATCCCCTCTAGACTCTAGCAGCCTCTAGCAGTCAAAGTGCCCTGCCTTGCCAGAGACACCGGGCTTTCAAGATTTGCTGGTAGTCCAGGCCCCTGACCTGCTTCTGGGTCTTCAAGACCTCAAAGGGGTTCTCCTGGTCTACACTCCGAAGGCACACTTGGATGTATGGTGGATGGAACTGAGGTGACTGAGGTGACTGCACACTCAGATTCAGCGGGGCTCCACCACGGCACGGCCCAATCCGGCCACGGCGCCACTGAGCCAGATCCGTCGCTCGACGCCCAGGAAGGGATCCAAGGTGCCGAAGAAAGAGGCTGGCTCGAGGGAGGCGTAAACTCCTGGTCCACGCAAGCAAATCGAATTGCAGCTCCCCTCACCAATGCACTCCTGCCACCAAAGTTTCCCAGCCGAGGATCCCGAGTACACGGTAAAGGGCACGGATCTGAAGATGACGGAGCCACAGAGGACAGGCAACGAACCTCTGTAGAAGCCAGCTACTTTCCGAACAGGTCGGGAGTGCGCAAGCTCGCCGGGAGCCTGGGCATCGTTTCTTATTCCTAATGCGGATGCTATATGCGTTTTGGCTCTTATTCAGCCAGTACTATTTGCAGCCTGATCCTCTGCTACTTAGAAATTAGTCACTGTGTGTAGCTATGAAATGCAGAACAATAGACTTCTGAATGACACTCTGGGTCACCACGGACCTACCTAAAGTCTCTAAAGATCATTGCTTGAGCCTTTAGCCTTCAGCCTTGGCCTTAGTCCCGGTCAGCCAAAGCTGTCGGGACACCCAGGCGACATGCTTCGACCAAAGCTGCTAGAACAAGAGACAGTGTTGCCCAATTGCTTCTTCAGCGACAGTCTGCAGGATCTGGCGGGCAACTTGCAGTGTGCCCGGACGGCCGGATGCTCTGCCGGTGAGCCGATCAGTCCTGAGCAATGAAGACTCCTCATCTTCCTGATCAGCACATCCCCAAGCCATCATCATCATCAGACAAAGACAACAGAAGCTTCAGGCGGCAAGTCGCTGCATCTTCGTCTTGATGGTGTCCAGAGGCTGTCCAAGCAGAGTGGCGGTTGCACCTGATTCATGCAAGACCCGACCACAACCTTCAATAGCTGTCTTTTGCTGTCATCCTTCACATACCAAGCTGCCATAGACGATGCCACCGGCAGCAGCCCACAGCAGCTCCTCTTGGACAGTTCCCTGTCCTGACGAAGTGACGAGCAGGCGCTCCCAAAATCTAGTTGAGATCCTCGACCGCTCTGCTATGGACACACGATTAGTCCTGCGAAATCGCCGAGCCTTGCCGCTGACATCTCGGCACTGAGGATAAGGACGCCATGTGATGGCTTGCTAAGCTGAGAAGTCACGAGGGCAACTCGCTGTCAGCAAACTTTGTTTGCGAACGCACACGACACACAGGCCGCAAACGTTAAAGATCTCCGACTTGCAACTGACTGGGAGCAGAAGCAGCGCAAACGGCCACTCGCTCCAAGGCTGTGGAGAGACAGGCAGATCGTGATGACTTGCACTTCCTGATGCGGATTATTTTCGTCGACTGGGGAGACGGACAGATGACTCCTGCCAGGAAAGTTCCGCCGCAAGGCAGGCTCGAGTGCCCCTTCAACTGCACACTCATGGAGGAGCAAGGTCATGGGCTATCACATTGCAGCACCTCAGCGTGCATCGATCGAGTTGGGTCTTACGGACAGCGCAACAATCACACAGCTCTGATCTTATCCACTTATCAATGAGGCAGTGGCTCGGTCGGCTGGGCAGAACCACCATGGGCGGTGCCGGGATCTGCACGCAATCAATGTGGGAAGGTCTACTGCATTGAAGGTCAAGGCCCTAGGCTATGCTGCAGAACATCTGCACAGCGACCAGATCTCCCGTTTTCTTCCAGAGCGAGCCGCACGGAAGTCAAGAGGATCTGAAGTCTTCATAACCCCTCGGATCACCGTCGGCAACTTCGGCGAAGCCGCTCGTGTCAGCCGGCATCGTTCGTCCCGCTCTTGTGACAGGCAGAGTAGGTCTCATCCTGTGAGGGTGGCCGCCCCAGAAAAGGTAGCAATTTGCATGGCCGAAAAACGCTTCGCAAATAAGTGTCCTTCTTCAGCAGCTTGGTGCCGGACGTAAAGCCGCCTGACCACTGCACTTGGGAAGCTAGGAGTATCGAGAGTCCAGTCAGGTTTCGTCGGGAAGGAAGCTGGGGTTGAAAACAGTCGGCAGCTGAAATAACGACCGGAATTACGTGGCTGCTCTGCTTCAAACGCCACGCTTTGGGCCAACACCCCACCTCTGAAGCTCCGCGAGCTGATGCCTTGCAGCCACCGCCGCCGCCTCCGGCTCCAGAGTCGGGTTTCCCAGGACGTCGACGCCTTTCGGTGCAGGTTACAGGGCCACAGGGAACCGTCATGAAAGGGCCCTGTACAACGAGTGCGATGGCCCTTGCCACCTGGCATGTCCCGGGCAGTGATGCGCGCTTGCGCCAGTGTGGGCTCGCCTTGCAGCAGGGACCCGCCATTACCGGACACGTGCTTGATCAGTTTGAATGGCGGATACGGTCGCAGGCTTGGCGTGGTTAGCTTTCGCAACTGCAGCTGGCAATTGCCCAGCGGTGCCTTCGACAAGCCTGGCAGTGAGCAGCAAAGGCACGCCGCGCAAAAGCCAATGCCGGATCTTCTTCCCAGGAGTCAGATCGGCTCGCGAATCTGTCTCCGCCTGAAAAGCTGCAAGATGGAAAGAAAAGACGAGAAGCCTCTAGTCCTCCCGCTGCCCCTTTGTGGTTTTGAGTCTGGCACCCTGACGCGATCCGTCCATGGCTCCCTCACAGACTCATTGCTCGCTGGATTCGTCAGGAGCTTCGCCAGCGCTTCGCACCACTCGAGGATCTGTCTCACGCACCGCTGGCCAGCTTCATCCTGAGCTCACCGGAGCGAATGCGCGGCGGACGCCCTGCGCCGCTGCCTCTGCTGCTTGCGTGTTGAGTGGCGCCTTTCCGGTCTTCGTAGCGAATCATGGGTATGATGATCACCTCATATCGAGCCATGTCATGTCGTCACAGCGCAGTACTGCACCTCAAGCCAATGCTGCTCTCTCCAGCCTGCACGCATGCTAATCGTGGCGGCAGCACGATCCCAACATCGTCACCTGACTCGCAAGACAAATCGGGCAGCACCTCAACATAACATCGCTTCAGTTTGCGAGCTGCGTGTGTCCAAAGGAGACTCCAGTCTTACAGCCGCCCCGGCCCTCGCCCAGTGGATAAGACTCACACCAAGCCACTGTGAGCGCAAATAGCAGCGGCCAATACGCGACAAGACAGCGAGAAAGCCGTCAATGAGCACACCTGGGAAGTTCAGATCATTGCGATGCTACTGCGTGTCTCACATCCAGAAAGCAACATCGGTGGCTGTTTGATGCATGCCTGCGAAGGCTCGGAGCAAATTCAGGGCTGATGTGCAGCCCAAGGTCGTGGTTGACGCATTTCCCCTCCGAGTCGGCCGTGCAATATCCTCAGCTGTGCTCCAGTCCCACAGGTGCAAACAAACAGAGGGGCCTGCAAGGCGTGTGAGTGTGCGCTTGTGTGTGATGGCATGTGCGCCTGTGAAGAAACCTCAAAGTGTGTGCAGTGATGCAGCGACAGCCAGCTTCCGAGTGTCGCATGTTGAAGCCTGAAGCTCGCTGCGGGTCCAACTCATGCACGGCCGCCACTTCCAGGGAGGTCCCTGTGCCTGGAATCGCCCTCGGTGGAGACACGATATTGCAACACGATATTGCGCTGGTTGGCTGCACTAGGTTCTCTGGATGACACTCCGTCGCGCAAGGATGTTGCAGACAGCCTTTTTAGGAGAGCTTCACTTCAACCGTCGTCTTCACACCATCCAGCGAGGACCTGCCCTTGCGACTCCGCGGGGCAATGGCCAAGAGCTCGGCACAGAGGCCTTGGCTTTCCAAGCTGCCACTCCCAAACAAAGAATGCAAGAAGGAACGGAGCATGCAGATGCAGGCTGCTGAGCTTAGCCACGTTCGTAGAGGGAGGCGATCTTCTCGGCGAACTCTGAGGTGTCCTTCTCTGAAGCATGGGCTGCATGTCCTTCTTGGACGTACAGTTCTCGGCCTCGAAGAAAGGCCAGTGGCCTCTTCGTGCTGTTAGGCGTCACTGCGGAGGCCCATCGTGTCAGCACCATCGGAAGGTCACGCACCGAGTTTACCCAGGATTTGCCCATCACCTTGTACAAGAGCGGCTCGCATGCAGTGCGTGCTTCCAGCTGGACCTCATCTCGTAGTGCGTCGGCAGACTGTTTGCCTTCACCGTGTGCGAGGATTGGGACGGCAAAGGGCTTTGCCCCCAGCAGGGAAAGTTCCATATCTAGCCAACGGCGCAGCTCCTCCCAAAGGTGCATACCCCATGGAGCAATCACTGCTGCACCTGTTACGTCACTCTCCTCCGCCAGCTTCCCTGACGAGATCAAGTGCCGATACCACTCCACCAGATCGGCGGATTTACTGGCGGCCGGCAACTTTCCAAGCGCATTGACTACAACGGAGGAAGCCTGCGCCGCCACCCCCTGAACTGAAGGAGCCGGGTTCTTGCCGTAGCCTTCCATGGGCCCGCTCCGAGCCTTGCGAGCTTCCATGCGCAGGGCTTCCTTGCTGAAGGGGCCGAGATCCGCATCGCAGAGGGTGGCGTGGCAGCAGGTGCGCCCGCGCAGGTCTGGTGGACGCCGTTTCGGCCCGGCACGAGCTCGGCGGGCTCGAGGATCCCGCAGACCTTTGGAGGCTCGCTGAAGTGACTTTCCGTGCCAGTACCTGCTGTGCGAAGCTCGACAGAGTCAGTAAGCCATGTCAAATCCTCGAGGCCTAAAACGATCCAAAAACGACTGCAAAAAAACTCCGATGACGTCGTTCCACTGGCGCTGCCAGGTGGCTCTTCCAGATGCCAGACCCTGCCATCTGGCGCAAAGCGCAGCTTAGCGACCTGCAGGAATTGGACCCTCCGCCACTGACGATCCTCGGACTGGCGCACCTCGAAGGAAGCCTCCCATTTTGCCACAGCCGTCTGTGCTTCATCGTCGAAGACCAAGTCCTCCACAACGTTCCTGAAGTCGATGTTCCTCTCGCGCATTTGTATGTGAGTTATCCAGTAGTTCTTGATGCCCTCGTGGCCCCGGTAGATCCCATTCTCTGGGTCATAGGGCCGCTCAACGTACAGCCCAGTGTCTGTGAAGAGCTCAAGAATCTTCTCTACGTCTTGCAAGCGCCAGGCCTCGCCGTAGCGATCCACCCATTCGATCGCATGCTGCCTAGACACGCCTTTCGAGCGTGCAACACTGCTTTCGGGGCTCATCTTGCAGCGCACAGCACTGAGCCCACATGCTGAAGCGAGAGCAGAGGCACACGCTCAGCAAAAACAAAACGGTTGCGGTTATCATTAGCATGCCTTGGCTCGACATGCTGCCGCCCGCTTTATTAACTTCCCCGTGTGCCTCCGGAATCGTGGGCTGGCCCTCCGGTGTTGGTGACAGCCAAGGGCCCTCCTGGCTTGAACGGCGCTGTGATGAAACGTTGACACCGGATGTCATCGGATGTCCTCGGGCAAGCTTCTTCCTCGCCACTCATGGGCAGGCTGCGGCCCCTCCTGACCTCAGCAAGCCAGGGAAAGCAGTGAAGAACCAGCAAACTGAAGGACTCGAGGACCGCGCTTTCGAGCCAAGTGTCGATCTTAGCTTGAGCTCGTCTACATCACTGGCTGCAACAATCTCAGAGCTTCCGGCCAGGGTGGCATTTACGAGGCGGTCCACGGCATCCTGGTGTCAGGTTTCCCAGACTGACTCGGGCTTTGTTGAGGGCAAGCCAAGCTGGACGGTCCAGCCAGCGCGGCGCGGTCTGATAGCGCCGCACGGCAGTGCGAGCCTGAGCGCCAAACTCCCAAGTTTCCCCCCTGACGAGGAGTTTTGGCATCTGCTCGGGTCAATGCCGGCATCGCTGCGAAGAATCCCAGGAGCCGCCGTGAAGCAAAGCTCGACACGAGGGGCCTGGAAAGCTGTCTACGCATCGCAGCTCCGACACCACATTTACATGAGTGTTGACGTCAGCCATGGCACAACATTCGAGGCAGAAAGAGAGGTGCTCGCACCACTTCCTGGCAGAGAAACGACAGCTGGCACATGACCAAGCCCACCACCAGTGGATCATGTCAATGACAATGTTTTCATCGTGAGTGATACGGCTCTCCTCGTCGCTTGCGTTCGAGGGGCTTGGAGCTGCACCTGGCTCAGGATATTGGACTTAGACTTGTTGCGTTGCCACATGTTCAGGTTGCTCCGTCTTCGTGCTTAGAGGTGTCGTTGCCATTTTGACCCACCGCGGGGATTTTTCTGGCGCACTGCACCCCTGAATGCGGAGAGGATGCCTTGGCGACGCTCCAAAGACTCGGCAGAACCCAAACACTCAGACAACTCGTATCTCTTCACCTTGGACACCTACGCTGCAGGAGACCCCGCGGAGCTTGCTGCAATTGTAGCCACCTGCAGCAAAGGCGAGGGCTTCAGCGCGCGTCTGCCAGAAACTTCACGTGACCTTATCCCTTCCAGTCACCAGCAAACCGACAACGCAAATGGGACAAAATCGCGGGCTCTGGTCGTAAACAAAACAAAGACCAGTCCTTCAACCGACTTCAACCTAACACTTTCCTATGACATATCTTCTGGAGCTCCATTGGTCACTTGAGTCCCTTGGTGACTGGCCTCCAGCTTCTCCGTGCTGCATGCTGCCGGTAATCGGGCCAGGGGATCTCCTCAAAAACATCTCAGCTTCTTCGACTCATGATGTGACGGACGGAGGGTGTCCTCCCGGAAGACATCCTCCGTCTCAGGCCAGGGGAAGCCTAGCTCCTTCAGCTGATCCTGGCCCTGCCCATCTCGATTTCTCGGTCTTGCAAAGTTGCAACGAGACTCTTCACACAAGACTGCCCTCAACATTGTCAAACAAGCTTGAGATATGGAACGGCACCAGGCTGAGGTGCTGCAGAGCGGGGTGACGACTGAGACGGGTGGGTCTGGACACACTTTCCCTAGTGGAGTCAGCAGCTTGTTGCTTCTCATTGGTGATACACTCTCAATGACATCGCCTGATGTCAAAGGTGACCGTCTACACGATGTCTCTTGCCGAAAGAGGTGCTTGGACACAGTAAGACTTCAATCGCTTGTCCCCGGCAGTGCCGTCTCGTACGTTTGGAGGCCGACGAGCTTTGCCGATTGTGGTTGCCCTCTTAGCTTTCTGACCGCTCTCGGGATCCGGTGCTGAACCGTCTCTCGCGACACGGCACTGCCTCGAAACCAAGCTGGTCCCACAAGTGGTTTGTGAAGAAGACCAGGCTGTACCTCTCGAGGCCCTGCCACTCCTAGCAGCCGTAGCCGTCGTGATCGAATTGAGAAGCACCCTGCGCCGCGATCGCTCCTCCGTGCGATGGAACTCGCGGCCATCGAAGGCGATCCACGTGTTCTGGACGTTCACGAGGCCTCTCCGAGTCGAGGTCTGAGAGAGGAGAGAAGAGAGGTTTTCTCTGAAAAAAAGAGCTACATGCTCTATTCTAATTATTAAGGCCCCTATATTACCTATATTACCCACATTATTAATAGTATACTATACCCCAATTTTCACTGCAGCAGAGCAACTCCAGGTGTTGTTCTTGGACGCATGAAGCCAGAGCCGGCCGCGGGAGAAGTTGCCAAGAGCAACCATGCGGCTCGGCCCGGCATCGAAACCATCAGTGTGCATCTTGTACTTCGTATTCACATTCACCTCGTTTCACATCCCAGGTTTCCAAGGCCTGAGCTCCTCTCAACGCAAACACATCACAAGCCTAGGGCCACGGGCTTGAATCGAGGTAAACTTGAAGTCCGGGCAGGCGGCCCGACAGCCTCTGCAGAGCACCTGAGGTCATTGGGAGCGCGCGTCTCCAAGCACGCTTGTTCTTCACGGCTGATGCGTCAGAGCACCTGGACAAGCTTGGGATGCGCTCGCGTGGCTTTGGAGACCACGGGAGTACCACCACCGCCGAACTTGTAGTCAGTGGTGAGGCCCAGGGTGCAACCCTTTGGGCAGAGCCCCGCGTGAGAAGATGCACGCATCCTTTCGGCTGGCCTGCGCTTGTTGCGCGGCAGCACGTGCTGAAAGCTGCGCAGAGTACGCAGCATCTCCTGGTGGTGCGTGTCCAAACCTGGCACCAAGACTTTATATCAGCTTCGCCTGAGCCTCTCGTGTTCATGAATCTGGCCTTGGAGGGCCCTGCAGGCGCAGTTCCGGTGGTGTGGGACCTACCACAGCAACGCTTCTTTGAAGCCCGTGCCACAATGGTGCAATACCTCATCATCTCGCCTGCTGCCACCACGGAGTTGCGTAAGCGCCAGCTATCCTGCGCGCTTGTTCGATCTCGATCAAGGTAAGCATAATTCCCTTCAGAAAGGAAGCACACAAAAACTTTCTTCTGTCGGACCTTTGTTTCGCTGGCAGCAGCACCATGAGGTTGAACGGTGTTGCGTCGGTCACTATCTTTCATGATGGGATCACACTACGAGGGTTTGTTGGCTCTTTTGATTCCTTGAGGCATGTCCGGGCTTGTTCACTCTGTTGCCGGCATCGGCGGTGCTCGAGGAAATCAACACTGCGGTGGCGTGTCATCGCAGTAAGCCAACAAAGTGCTGTCTGCTCCATTCCTCCGCTCTCCCTCTCGTCGATGCTCTCCCGTCACTTCTCCGGCATGCCTCCGCTTTCCGTCCCGCCTGCACCGGACGAGGCATTGAAGCCTGGCAAGGCCCGGCAACAGGCTGTCGCAGATCTGGTGAATGTGACGCGACGTATCGCGACGTGTCACCCATGGCCCATATGATTTGAAGCAAATCTGGGGCAGGGGTGCTATCGGAGGCTCTCTGTGGTGGTCGCACCTGCGTTCTCCGAGGTGTTGGGGGTCCCTGGCGTTGCGGGAGTTGGAGTCGGGGTCGCCTCAATCCGACAATACGATACAACCCGACACATGACTCGACCACACGCTCCCAGCTGGCAACAGCGGGATCTCCAACTGCCTCTGCCTTGGAAATCTCGGGAACGGGCTGGTGCAGAAAAGTTCAGCGGCCAAACCTCAGGGGAAAGGATCCAACAGGAGACAAGGATACCAGGATACCCATCAGATCTCAGCGGCTGCTGAGGCATTTGCGGAAACAGTGTCAAAGACGGTCTTGAGCTCGACCTCCCCAACTCGACTCCAAGAGAGAGCTCCTCTCTGCCTCTCGCGCAATCCTGAGACCCTCGCCACGAGGCTGGGCATGCTGGCATCCAAATCGAACTTGAAGGGCTTCTGGCCAAAGTTGAAAGACAGCCTGCGGCGCAGAAAGGGTCGGTGCCAGATGTTGTCAGACAGTCAGACACAGCTCCACTGATATGCAGTAACCAGGGCGCAGGCAGCTGCTTGGTGTCGAGGCCTACCTAGGTGTGTCGTCATGTAGAGCTCTAGCATTCCAAAAGTTGAGACGTGACGAGTCGCCACCTTACGGGCGTCCTGAGCAGATGAACAACGCCGAGCTTGCTAAACTGCAGTACAGGCACGCAAGGCCAGAGCGGAACATCCCAAGGAACTTGATCGAGGTCAAACGCGAATCCTGCAGAATCTAAAGGGGGGGCTGTCAATAGCAATTTATGTCGTCATGTGAGGGAACAGAAACCATGCAAACGAAAATCGTCTCGCCCGAGACCTCAAAGCAAAAACATGCACCAGCAGTGAGCCTAAGAAGGCACCGTTCAGAGTGTAGAAGATCTTGCGCTTTGCTTGCGCCAGAGCTCGCGGCCCTCGCCAGGACGCTGGATTCCCACCCGGGCTTGGCATCGCATCATGTTGTGAGGTTTCTGGCTTCTTTCTCTGCCTTATCAAGGCTCTTTTTCAAACGAAGCCGCCTGCTGTGACCTGCGATGCCTCGCAGTCGCCAAAGCTGGATCCGGGCAGCTGACAGATCCCGCAGCCAACCACGTCTCCCTCCCCGAAGGTCAATGGCCCTGGCACCTTCGCGTCTGCGAACTGGTAACCTCGATTGGAGGCGTGGAACAGCTGGCCGTCGTCGCTGTGGAGGCCCCAGGATTCTCCATCCCAGCCTGCCTGCTGCTTGGCAACAGCGTAGCGCGAGAAGCGCGGCGTGCAGAGCCCCACCGAGATGCAGAGCAGAACGGCTTCCTCCCGGTCCCTCCCGCGGCGGCAGGCACCAACTCCGCCAGCACCGCTCACCGTAACCTGACAGGATGGGACACCGCATGGCCACTTGGCCTACTTGTAGCGCAAAGCAGCCTCAGCTGTGTGCTTTAGCATGGTTTTGGCAAATTATCTTATGCCTCGTAGTACGAGGCACTGCGGTAGGCGACCCTCCAGTGGAACCCATCTCTTTCTTCGCAGGCGTATGGCAGGACGGTGGCTGAAGGGACCGCAGGCAGCGGCAGCTGAGCCACGACGCAGCGATCTCGTCCGATGAAGCCCGGGCGCAGGTGGCACCGCACCACCCTGAGACGCAAGCCAGCATTGGGAGGAGCAACACGGATCGATGCGCAGATGCTGTGTCAGAATCTTCAAGGCCATCAAGGCCAAGCGCCTCCCATCAGCATCTTGGAGGAACTGCACTCCCTCCGGCGCCGATGCCGACTCGCCGTAGAGACTGGGCCTCTGGCTAACAGTCTACTGCATCTACCACGCAGTAACATTCTCCGGCATGCCAGTACAATGTTAGGCCGACTTCAGCTGGCTTGGTCAGGGCGCAGGAACTGATAGTCCTCGCTCGAGCTCCGAAGAGCATTCTTACCTGGGGCAATGTCCAAGTCGTAGAAGGCACCTGAGGACTGCTACTTACTTCCGGATTCAAACTGAGCTGCCCTGTCTTCAAACATCCCGTGCAAGACGATGTCACTGTAAGCAAGCCGTCAGACACTCCCTGAAGCTTGTCGCCACCGTCTCCAGACTGTGAAACTAGGGCACGCTTCCAGCACCACCGCGAACTTGAGGAACTCTGGGCACCTGCGCCACAGAGCTCTGGCAAACAGGTGCCAGTCGTAAACCTGCTGCAGCAGTTGGTGCCTTGCAAGCGAGGTCCCGAGCCCACGGGGCACAGCGATTCAGCGGGAATCCCAAGCTCCTCCAAGAAATCTTTGACTTTCCAAAAATAGGGGGTACCTTATTTGGGGTCCTTATAATAGGGATCCTATTATTTAGGGTACTATACTAGGGTCCCCTATTTTTGGAAACCCCCATCTTGGAAGAATCAGCTAGCCACACAGCTTGCGCCACTCTAGAACAGATTGCAAGGTGAGAAGCATGACCTGCCACAAGGCTTAAAGTCCTGCGCGCAAAGCTCCTTCCAAGCATTCTGCACCAGTTCCTGCTTGCATCGTGGCTCTGCCGGAAAACTGCCCTCTTCCCAGAACTTCCCTTGCCCCTGCTTCAAGGAAGTCTCCGCGCATGACTCGGCCGGCCTCCTCCGCCCAGCCAGCCGTCTGGATGCCTCTGCGAAGTGCATGTCGGGGGCTGGCCCAACATCATTAAAAAGAAAGGGGTCTTTAAGAGCTTCAACACATACTGCCAGCAACATTCAATGCCCGGAGCAATGCCCTGAGCTGAGCTGGGTCACCCACGGAGCAGAGATGGAGGATCCAGAAAAAAGACCCACTGCAACGGCAGTGCGTCCAAGCGCGTCACGCCAGAGGCCTGGGAGCTGCCCATGCCATGGATGCCCTCTGGCGCTTAGTCACGGCAGAACCCCACAAGTCCAGCACCTCACGGGGCGCGCTAATCGTGCGAAGCGGCGTCGCACCCATGGGTACAACTTGCTCCACTGCAAAGCTGGTACTTTCTGCGGCATTCTGCGGCGTGGTGTGACTTGGTCTCGGCTGGATTCATATATGACTCGGAATCTATGTGAGCCATGGGTGCTGTCTCAACGCACTAACAATTCCACAGAGCTTCGCCTCTTCGACGTACGAGTAGGATGCAGTCCTGCCTTGGGTGCAGCAACTGACCTTTTTTCTCGGCCCGGGCAGAAAGGCGTCAAGCTGCACTTTGCACCTGCCACTGTGTCCGATCAAACTCACGACCGGCAGAGCACCTCGCTGTGCTCACACCCGCATCGCGGATCGCGGCAGCTCTCAAGCTGCTGATGACTTGCTTAAGTCGTCGACGCACTGTTGCACCCTGCTGGAAAATTAAGGACCGTTCGCCAGCTGCGCTGCAGTCCATCACAGGCTGCTTTGAAGGATCTGATGCGCCACAAAGTTGCGAAGACGATTAGCCTTCCAACCCTGCGAAGCCTCCAAGTTTTGTCTCAAAGGGTGGAAGCTTGGCATGGTGCTGTGATAGGATGCTCGGGGGCTTCGAGCTACTTCAGGAGGTTGACGATGCCTGCAGGAATACGAACTCTCAGTCCGTCATCGCGCGCTTTGTCCAGGATTACCTGACACCGCACACGTCGTCTTTGCGGAATGTACATCATAAAACACACGCGAGACCCATAAGACAGAGAGAAAGATGGAGAGACCCTGAGCCCTGGGGCCTGGCAGCCTAAGCGAGAGGTGTCGGTCACGTCCTGCGCCAAGTCGAGCATGTCGGCCTAGCGGGAACTCTGAGTCTGAAACCCCTTGCTTTCTCGACTTCGAATTCGAAAATTCATGTCTGCCATGGCCATGACCACCCGTTCCTTGGGATCTGACATGTTTCCTGAACCGCTCAGCTGAAGTGGCAGGGAGCTGCGACAAATCTCTACAAGGGCAACTGTGCGGAGCTGTTGTCCGGTGAATCTGTACAAGGACACGCGTGGTGTGGTGTCCTCGTGCACCTTTCGGCACGGCGGACACACCAATGAAAAGTGTCCCGGACAACAAACCTTCGCCTTCAAGTCGCATCTCTTTAGCACTGCAGGCGTTGTCGCCGTCAGCTGTGCAAGAATCGGATTCTGAGAATGTGACCATTCTCATGATGGTTCGAACTATCGAGCCTAGCACATGTTTTGCACATGCTCTGGATCCTAAGCGCCGCCGACTGACGCTGGACGAAGAAGGTTCAAGCATGCCTCGACATAGGGAGCAGACTCGAGCTTGCACCAATGCAGCCCGAAGCGCACGGCCTTGGCAGCGGCCGGGGCGCCGCCCGCCTTCCGCAGGGCCTGGGTTACACAAATGTGGAAGGATCTCCGATTCTTCTCTTGCTTCTGCAGTTTCTCCTGGCCTCGCCGAGTAAGCGGCAGCACCGGCGCTGCTCCTCCGCCTCGCTCCCCAACGCTGCCATCACCGCGTCTGCGATAGCTCCTAGCCGCACTCCCAAGAAAAGAGCGAAACCGAGCTTTGGCTGAGAGCAACCCGGCCCGGCACCTCGCGGTGTGGCCAAAGGATCCGGAAAACATTTGCCAGCTCCGGCCCTCTCGATGGCAAATCCGTTCGAGGGCTGGTCCACACAGAAAGGCACCACGACCATGGGAACTCCCAGCACGGCGGCCTGTGACTCCGGCGACCGCTCTATTCGCTTCACGGCAGGATTTTCATTGGCGCCTCTTTGATGCTGTTGCAGCCCCCATGCGTGACGAAAACGTCTGCATGCCTCAAAGCTTGAACCTGAGCAGCCATGGACAGACGTCATCTCTGACGCTAGACATCAACTAGAATCGACCACAAGTGAAAGGGCAGCAAGGAGCTTGGTCGATGTACTTTTCGACAACGAAGTTCGACGGCAACTCCCCAAGCATGCTCCGAGCATCTGCACGTGGCCCGATGCTCATCACCACGCGGACATCCGACCCTTTCAATGCAGGCATCCAATCAATGCACATGCTGCTTGACCGCAAGAAACCCCTTGTCAAAGACACACAAGAAAAGGCTTGTGTCAGGTCGGTTTGCACAAGCCGAATGTAGGATGTTCTTTTGCCGATGCCTGCGAACAGCCTTCAATTCGTTCTCTGCTTTCGAAAGTTGGCTGGTTCCAGCTGTCCTTCATCATGTTGTCGCCACACACACATAATATATGTATATATATATATATGTATATATATATATATGTATGTATGTGTATGTATATATATATATGTGTGTGTATACACATATGTATATGTATGTATGTAGGTATGTATGTATATGTATATGTATATGTATATGTATATGTATATGTATATGTATATGTATATGTATATGTATATGTATATGTATATGTATATGTATGTATATACAAAAAAGGAGTACATACATATGTATATATATATATGGTTGTGCGCTGTGCGTTCAAGGGGCAAAAAATCCGAAATTCAAGACCCAAACCGTTCCATAGGGCGGGAAGAGGGAAGCCAGAACCATTGGAAGAAGACCCCAACTATTCCATATGCAAGGCCCAAGCCATGGCCCAAGCGCTCCACAGAGATGACCAAATGGGGATACCATTGGGGTGGATGGGGGGTGCTCGCCGGGGCGCAACCATCCATATATACATATACATATACAGACACAATCTACATTACCTATACATGTACATCTACATATACGTACTCATAAACAGATACTCATACAGATAATATATATATATATACATACGCGCATGTTCATATACATTTCATTTTCGTTTTCACAGACATGTACGTATACATATACATATACATATACATACTTATAAATACATATAAACGCACATATATACATAGCTGGGTGTATATAGATATATATATATATATGTATATCTTACTCTATATATATATATATATATACATTCGCTTATATGAAACGAAAATGTTATATTATATCATACTATTTTATGTGAAATAAACAAATACTATACTATACTATGTTATATTATAGTATATTATGTCTATATGTGTGTATGTATATATATATATATATGTATGTATGTATTTATGTATGTATGTGTGCATATATATATATATATATATATGCATGCATGCCTCCATGCAAACACACAGACACATAAACACATCTGACTCATGTCGAAAGACCGCACGGACCGAAATACAGTCTCGTGTCGGAACATGTCGGAACAGACTCGACAAAATATCCCGTCGTAACACACGTGTCCGGTGCACAGTGGGTTCTTTCTTGCCATCAGCGTGGTGGGTCTGTGCTATTCTGCCTCAGGACATGATACCTGACCAGTACAGCATCCCAGCATTCCACATCATGCTCTGTTTCTCCGTACACTGTACAGGCTACCGCAAGCCGTTGCAAGTGCCCATGCTTTTTCCTAACCTAACCGAGACAAATCCCTCGGCCAGTTTCCACTGGTATCCACTGGCCCAAAAACAGGCACACCCGTATCATCAGCCCAGTCCCAAAACCCCAAGCGATTGCGCCCTGCAAAGCTTTCCTGTGAAACTTGCCGCCGCCAAGCATCTGTCTTTGAAGGTCTCGATCAGTTCGCTCCAGAGGCGATGGCTCACCTCACGTCCTGTAAACCTCCCCAGCGAGGACCTGTCGCAGAACATCGACATCGAAGTTTAGGTTGCAGGCTTCATCTTTCATCTTTCGTTAGTCGCAAGACTCTGCGCTTTCTAGGCCGAGCCGCACATGCTCGGCGCTGTCCCAGCGCATGTCTACGGTCAGGCTGCCCAAAGAGACGACGACCACCTTCGGCATGCAGCATGCATCTCAAGTACCCCGGATGAGAAGTCCCACAACGGGAACAGGTTGCACGCTTAAACATCCGCGGTGCTGAACAAAGGCGGCCTAAAACAACCGGTGCCTAAAACAGTGAGGCCCACGCGCCCTATCCAACCTCACCCAAATCAACCCCCGGATGCAAAGCACAAGCTCGAGGGCCGGCAGAAGCACAAATGCATGGCCCCAGCAGCATGGGAGGGAGCTGGAGGCGAGAAGACGGATGGTCAAGGATAAGGAAGTCCAATGCCGAAGGTGGGCACACAGGGCAAGAGGATCTGAAGCTTCCAAGTACCGACCGAGATGCAAGAGGACAGAGTTCAGGGATCATCATCATCATCGTCATATGGACCAAACGTGCCTGAATTGCTTGGGAAAAGACAGGTCGCAACAAGTTGCCATCTGTTTTTGTCCAGCATTTACGCCATGCAACCCCAACCAGAACCAGGACCAGGAGACCACCCGGAGACGCCTGAGAGAACCCGCAGACCCGCAAGTGACCACCAAGACACCAGGAGACCTCGAAGAGACCACCTAGAGACCACCACAAGACCAAAAGAACAGCAGGAGACCAGCAGGAAAGCACCAGAAGACCATCACCAGGACACTGCCAAAATGCGTTCCCCCACGTACTGGCACATTCAGAACCATGCCCGGAGTACCTTCCCCCAAGTACTGGCGGGATTCAAGGGGATACAAAAGCACGGCATCCAGGACCACCGCGAAACCTGTGTTGCTGCGATTTCAAGTTTTCGAGAACCAACAGTGGGCAACATCGTTTGTTTCCTGTTGTTTACAATGAATCACGCCTCCCCGAAACCCGTTGGCACCAAATTCTCTGTAAGTACAGGACGCTAGCGAAAACTATGCACCGCACCGCACGAGAATCCTGTACAAATGATGGGACACGGGGAGTGATTGGCAGCATTTGGTGTAAATATTGGAACGCGGGGAGCTTCTTTTCGAATCGCGCCGGGCGCACGGCTCAAGCTTGCAACACTCTCTTGGCCCTGAACGCAGGAACCCCATAGCTCATAGCGTTATCACAGGTTTTAGGGAATTCAAGCTCTTGAGTGCTTCAATGCTTGAAAAGCCTACTTCTTGTCATTCCGGCTTGCGGTCGGCTACAACGGCCTACGAGTATAACTCGAGACGCTACGCCTGAACTAACTCATGGGTTGCGGTAGTCATCTGCACAGTGTTGTCTACCCCACCGCTGGGTTGGCTGTGTTTTCATGCATCATGATATTTGGGACTTATTTTACGCTTCAGTGTACAAACCTAGGTTCACGTCGGGACCTGGGTTGATCAAGCTAAATCCAATACAAACCACATTTTCGCCTTGAGCCCGTGGGGGCTTGGGCCGAGGCATCGCCCTCAAACCGGATGATATTCACACAGCAGACCTTTAAAGCTGCGGGCAGGGAAGCTTCGACAGAGCATCCTGCCGTGTGCCTGAGTAGATAGAAAACGTTACAGCTTGGACGGCTGCTTGGCGCACTGCCTGCCTTGACACCAGGAGGAGTATGCCACGAAGCTTTGGTCGCTGGTGAGCATGGGTCCTCTTGGTACACAGGCCAAGATCGCACAGGACACGAACACAAGTTCAAGAGGTACACGTGTGCCCATTTCCTCGTTGGGCGCGGACGCACGCTTCGCAGAGGCTTTCAAGTCGTCGACGGCACCAACCCAAAGAAATGTCGAGTCATCCAGCAAGGCCTGCCTCGCGCTTTCAGACGCATATTCCAGACGGAAGTCTCGCCACACCTTTCTACCTTGGAAGCATCTCCCCTGCAGCCAAGTTTCTGATACTTCGGCACCTCACCCTGGAGCTGCGGAACAGAGAACCTGGTTGGTTGCGTCCCTTGGCATGTCCTTTCCGAGTTGGCTTGCCAAGCAGCATGATGTTCAGCTGGCGACTGTAAAAGCGGCATTGCCTGCAAAGCAGCTTCATTGATCGGGGTGTCGGTGTTAATCTCCACATCTCTGCCGAGGCACAGCTGCGATGCACACACATCCACACCGAAGAGTCGCAGGGCCACTTGGTTGGCCTCAAACTCCAGACAGAGGCGAGAAGCTCAGCTGCCACTTGGCAGAAGGAGCCTCCTGCATGCCTGGATGCTTCGCCAAGTTGTCGTCGACAGCCTGCGGGAAATGCGCGTAACTCAAAGCTGGGGCTCGGCAGACCGGGAGGGCTTCGCAATGCTCTGCCTGCCGCTCTGCTTCCGGGATCTCGTAGAGGTGCATCGGGGTTCCTGCCCAGCAAGGGGCGGTGCAATACAAGCCTGAGATGAGCGCAGAAAAAGAGACCCCTCCCGTCCAGGACCCGGATACGTGGAGAAGGACACGCCGGGAACCCCGATTTTGAGAGCAGCAAGATAGGGATGCAGCAGCATCACGTTATACAGCACCTGCATCAAACTCACAAGTCGCAAGTAGCTTTTGGATCACTGGTCAGGAGGACAACTGAGGATGGGGCCAAGTCTGGGCGCCAGCTTCCCTCTTTGCTCCACAGATCGGCTAGACGCTTGCCCAGGACAACGCCTGCCAGGCGACTCTGCTCCGTTTGGTCTATGTTGGTTTGCCAGAACTTGCACGTCCCCAGCACTGGCCTGTGGGCAATGCGAAGTGCAACCACCGGAAGGCGAGGAATTCCTTTTCCATTCCGTCCGCCGTCAACGCTGCCAAGCCCTCCCCGCAGCCTTGTGCCTGAAACCAGACGGCCTCCTCCTGGCAGATCAACTTGCACTGTGCAGTACGGCACGAAGCGTCGACATCACAGCCGTCTACCTCCATCAGCGCATCCCAGCGGAGAAAGTATTCGTCAAATTTGACTGGCGAAGCGCCAGCACTTTTGACGTCCGCGACATAAGTGTCCTCACACCCCATGAAGCGTCTAGAGGCTAGAGGCAAGAAAAAGATCGAGTAGTACCTTAGGGCCTCATGGAAGGGACGATTGCGGGTAGGCTCAAAGCTTTGCATCCTTCGTCAAATAGTAACGAACGTCGCAGCCCCGCTTCGCTAGCTCGGCAATCACAGGGAGCACCGGGTTGACAGTGCCGACCTAAACTCGCACTGCGAAAGCGAACCGTTCTTCAAATTGCCCCGTCTACTACGATTTCTGCTAACCGTCCGCAGCCTTTCAGAACTGCGTACACATGTGGACACTCTGACACTCTGAGAAGACGAGGTACAATCTCCATATTGAAGATTGCAATCCGCGGCATCGTTTGGTCTGTCGCCATGGCGCCAGCAACACTTGCTTCTTGTCTTCGGAAGCGGAGGGTGAACGCTGGAGCCCGGGCACCACCGCAGTCTTCGGAGTCGACACGGTGCAATCGAAACGGTGCATGTCCGAAGTTAGGGCCAGCCCGAAGCGTCTCGAAACAAGAAGTGACAAAGTGCAACCTGTTCTCCTGTCCGCTTACTGGCCTCATCATCATCCGGTGGTGGCAATTTGTCGAACTGCTCCTGTCAATGAGGTCGTGTCACGGCTAGCGCGACCCAAGCGCACCCAACTCTTGCAGCAGCTCCTTCTCCAGAATGATATGGCAGGTGCTGCATGCACATTCTCCGCCACAAGCGCCCTCAATGTCAATGTCGTGGTCGTGCGCGACCTTGCCGCATGGCCCGGAGCGAAACGAATGAACTATTACGACGCGAAGACTTCAGAAACGTTGTTTGCTTCGCCGTCGCTTCCCACCTGGAGCAGCGTTTGGCCAGTCTTGGCTTTCACGGCGACACTCCCGCCCTCGCCGGCATGTAAATGCATTCAAGCAGTGCAGATTGGGGGAGAGCTGCGAAGACACAGACCCTTACGAAAAAGTACGAACTTGGTCGCCACACATCCTCGTCTTTGATGAAGTGCACGGTGAAGCTGCAGTACCTGGGCCTGGCAAAGCTGAGTTCGCGATTCGGTGATCTTTGCATTCAGGCTGCACAACATGATACGTGAGGGAAGTCATCCCATACAGCCAGTCCTGTACAGCTTGCCATCTCCAAAGAGCTGCGCACCTCCCGGGAAATGCGTATCTTGTTGGCCGCACCGCTGCAAGCGCACCTTCCGGCAGTTGCAAGACATATCATGAGCATCTTCTTCCACTGACATTTGGGAGGTTTCAGGCCAGCTCCTGAGCCAATGCGGCCCAAATATGGCTTGGACAAGCAGCTCGCAGCCCGGAGCATGAAAGGGACACTCCTGGCAGTGCCGGAATGGTGAGAGTCTCAGATGCTCAGAGAGGTCCGCGAAATCTGTCGGCCGAGCCTGTGTGCCACTGAAGCACTTTCTCAACAAGTGCCCTTGCACTCGGATAACTCGGATAACCGCCCCCCAAGAAGCCAGCAGATCTGGCTTTGAGCACATCACCACCATATCCATGCAGTGAGCTCTTGGTGAATATGGAGACCATGGTTGCCCTGTACCACAGCAGCTCCCTGCAGATGCAGACTTGTTTTTGGCCGGCTGTCCGAGTCGGCGCATCGGCCACGAACGCTTCCTGTGGAAGGCTCGTTGAGGCATCTCGGTGCGGCTCAGGGGCCCAGGCCTTTCCAACACGAAGATCATCGAACACACTTCACATCACTTGACACTACACGAAGATGAGCTCTTCGGGCTTGGAAAGGCTGACATCACTCTGACTGCGGCTTGAACGGACCGGCTCCTCCTTGCTTTTCGTGAAAGTTTCAGCGCGCTTGGCTTCAAGTTCATACTAAGAGTGTACGAGGAGTGTATCTAAGTCCAAAGGCCATCTGCCAAGGGAAAGCAAGGGAGACAGAGTGAGAGGTCGCGTCTAGATGCCCGAATTGTCGAAGTTCCACAGCCGGCTGCCTGTGTCAGCTCGGTGTCTGCGGTGACAAGAGGAGCTCGGAGCTCTGAATCAGTCTGTGACTGAGTCAGAGCTCCACACATGGCACAGCCACGGAGGGAAGCCCGGTCTGCGGATGGTTCAGGACCTCAAAAGCGTCCCGCCCCTCCCTACTGTCACAAGTGTATAGTCGGAATGCTGAACCATCCTTCCCGGCCCCCTTCAACTGGAACACTCTTCGTTGTCCAGATGCCGCGGCTTTGCCATGCTTGGGAAAAACCATGCATGCTGGCCCACGCCCACCGACAGTAGGCCAACGAGTAAAAGTGCCGCTGCGCGTCGTTCATGCATAACAGCCACTGCAGATCCAGTGCCTAAAGACTGACTACCACGTTCGTCGCTAAAAACTGAAGCGCATTGCACAAGTGGCTGAGCAGGGTGCTACGGATGAGCAACCACAGTCTGAGCCACGAGTCATGAAAAGGTGACCATAAATGCGAGATTCCATGGCAGTGTTTCCTTTTCAGCTAGCCGTTGCGTTGTCTGCACGCTCTTCTTTGTGACATTAACCGGCGATGCCTGCAATACTGGTACCTTGTGCGGCAAGAACAAACAGGGAAGCCCTGCCCGACAACTAAGCGTCTACGAGGAACGCAAGTTCCTGAGACCAGCTAGCTACCTGATCAGTGCATTTCCGACAGGGCGGCGCACCGTTCCAGAATCCTGAACAGTCACACTTGCTCAAGGCAAGCCTTGCCATTACTCCCCAGTCTCATATTCGATGGGATTAGCATGCCTCATGGACCTCAGAACACCGGAACTTCCCCTCGGGCATTCTCTGCCTGATTGAAGATTCTGTGGCTTCCGTCCGCCTCAGTCTGAGGCAAAAGCCACCCTTCTTTGAGCTTGAAACGTGTTTCTCCACGCTCCAAAGGGCCCCTTGGGCCGGGGCTGCAAGTCTTGGGTAAACTGCGCGTCTGGGAAGCCACCTGGCACTCCTTTACCTCGGAAGGCCGCTCGAATGCAGTTTGGGCCCAAGGTGGGGTTCTCACTGTTTCTCACAGACTCCGCGGGCATCGAGGGCCCCGCACTTCACGGCCGCATCCAGCCACCTCCTCATCCTGGCAGCTCTTTCAGAGCCCCTCCAGCAAAAGTCGCGAACCCGTAGCAACTGAGGCCGTCCACCCTGGATCATGGCCTGAGCTCATGTGCAATGTTGAAGCATCGCTTTCACTCTCCCAAGATCTTCAGGCACGAGACTCCAGTAGGCGTCGCCGTATCTCTTCCAATCCTTGTCCCCTTTGAGGATCTTCACCTTGGCCATCGTCTCCTTGTCGAAGATCCTGAGCCACACGGGGCGACGCGGCCCTTCCATGTGCCGCGCATGGCCACACGTCTGGGCGTGGGCGGCCGGCTTGCTGCCAGCGGCGTAGATCGGATAGAAGGCGTAGGGGAGACTCAGACACCTGGCAAAGGTCTTTTGTCCACAAAAAAACAGCTCAGGCAGCCTGGAAAAGCAAGCTGCTGGGTTCCTGGCACAATCTGCCCAAATCTTTCTGGGTAATGGCTGGCAAACATAGGGAAGGCAAGGGCCTCGACAGGCTTCACTCAAAGATCGCAAAATCGAGAACACTGCCGGGGCCCGTGCGCCAATTTTCGGATTGCAATCTGCAAACCCGAAGCCCGCAAAGTCCACAATCCAGGCCTCAAAGCACGTCTGGAGTCTGAAATTCATGTCTGCTCCGCGCCTAAGTGCGAGAGCATTGCCACCTTTGAGGTTTCCTGTTTGCGATGGGAGCTTCAAGATGTCGAACGCCGTATGAACACATACATGGCAGAAGCGAACTCACAAGTAAAACTGCCAATGCAGGGCCACAGCGGGGTGCCGTGTCACCCTGGATGCTGTCCAGATCCCACCGAGTTCGATAAACCTCTAGTTATTCTAGTTGGCGCGGACACGCAGGCACAGAGATGCATTGATGGGTGTTGGCGGCCTGGCTTAATTGGGAAGGAGAACGGAGCAGGAGGATTCCTGCTTCGCTAGAGCGGACAACCCCATCCGGCAAATCTAGTTGGCAGTGTTTGGAATCTTGGGGCGAGGCAACGGAGCCGGGAAGTGTGGAGTTTTTGAAGAGCCTGTGCGGACAACCCTGCTCAGCGGCTTCTTGGCGTGCGCTCTGAGCGCCTTTCCAGCTCCGAGGCCATGTGCTCGATGCCATCCTCGGGCGTCTTGTTGGCTGCACGCCCTGTGCAAGAGTAGATTACCTCGGTGCCAAACCAACAGGACAGGGGCAAAACATGGAAAACGAAGAAGTTGGAAGAGCATTTAGCACACCGCTCTATGACCATATCCCACAGTCTCTGCTCCGAGCTTTTTCGGCGTTGCCGGAGACCGCACTTCGAGATCCTTGCCCTCCTTTGCCCAAATCAAAGTTCAGCTGCCCGCTTGCGGCGCTCAGGCGGAAGCTGCCTCTTTTCAGGGAACATCTCTGAAATAGTAAAGAGTTCTTATGATGAACTCCGTGCATCCAGTGACAGCTAACGGTCTTTCCCTCCGATTGACAACAGACATGAAACCCCGTCAGCCCTGCCGATCAGCGCCTTCTTTCCCGAGACAGCCACTCCGTCAGCTCTTGCAGAAGGAACTTCTCATCCCGCCGGAGAACAACCGCATCTTGCCAAACTCCAGGTTGCCCCTTCCTTTGCAACAGCCGCTCCTCGTCCAGCAATGAGCCGCCAGCCATCTCAGAGCGTTTCTCCTCCAGGACCCCGAGCAGAAAATCCAACATGAGCCTCTCGTCGTCGAGGTTCAGGTACCTGCAAGGGCCCATGGACCAAGTATCCTGTGTCAGACCAGGTAGGTCAGGCAGGCGAAGGACAGGCTGCAGTGGCCGCGGAACTGTCAGTGCACATGCCTCCCTGAGATCCGAAACAGACTCTGCCCGCGTTGAGGCGATCCACGCTCGAAGGAAGGCCAGGACAGGCTGAAGGGATGACGCCCTCTGCCCGCTCTGCCCGCTCTGTGCAGCGCATCCTCCCACGGTGAAGCTGAGATGCGGCTCGAGGGCCCGAAGCAGATCCGAAGCTCCAAAAGCGCCGAAGCCGGGGCGACTGAGTGAGATGTAGGGCAAGTCCTCCGGTCTCAAGGTCAGACGAGATCGCGTCAAGCAGGTAAGGTTGTGAATCCAGGGAACCGTAAACCCAAAAGTCCAAAGAGACTCCTCGTTGCTCTGGAGCCCATATACATCCGTCACCTCGGTGGCCGCTCGGACTGGACGCCTCAGCCAGAGATGCAGGTTGCCGTTCTTGTTCGAGCCAGCTGGCGGCTCTGTTCCGAAGCGGCCCAAGGACTTGGCCTGGTGGCTCTGAATCTCGGGCAGGGAGAGCAAGGGCGCGTCAGGCACCGGCAGCTGGTGGTTCACCAAGTCGAAGAGTGGGACCAGGGCAGACTGCGGCTGTGCGAATGAGCTGCCCGGGTATGTCAGGACACGAGAGTTAACAAGAGCCCAGACCTTCTTATATGCCTGCAGATTAAATTTACCTGCGATCTCTGGGCAGGTCTGCTGCAAAAGCTCCGAGTACTCACGCTCAACTCCTCCTCTGGCAATGGCGTACACGATTGATGCAGTTGTTCCTTCAATCTCCCGAAGTGCCCAGTTTGGCCAAAGCAATGGAAACCGCTGCTGTTGTCCCTTGCTCCAGTGGCTAAGGAGGTCATCCAAATGTGGCCATTCTGCTCGGCTGTCAGTTCTGTCAAGAATCGACAGCAGCAAGACCATCATGCTAAACAGTGCATGAGTCCGGCCGCGGTCCGCTGGATTTGGGCTCTGGTCGAAGAATCGCCGAATCGTGTCCGCACAGGGTGTCAAATTCGTGGCTTGCTCTCCCATGACCATCGCTTGTAGTGGCACAGAGACAAGGGTCTCATCTTCATTGACATCAGCCGTGACAAACAAGCCACGCCCTCCGTGACCATCTGCTTTCAGCTTCACTTTCCTGGAAACGAAGCCTCCCAGATCTCGGATCCAGTCCGTTAGACCATCAGACCCGGCTAAGCTTGCAAATCCCCAAACCAAGACTGCAGCAAGGCTCATGTGCGCTAGAGCACTTGATCAACACGAAATCTGGGTCAGCTCTTGCCAGCATGCGGGACAAAGCATTCCGCAAGTCTGCAAGCTCTTCAGCTGGCCCATGGAGATGCATCAGCATTTGTGCATGCAAGGACTGTGGGGGAGGAAACATCCAATCGCAATCGCCATTTCAACAATTTATAAAGTTTCTTGACATGCAATCGAGCAGCATGGCGCCCGAGAACGTCTTTACCCACACAAAGAAAGCAGTGGGACCTGAGTCGACCATTGCTCTTTCGCAGAAGTTCTTGCGCATCTGCTTGCAGCTAAGTGCTACTGTAGGGATTGCACTGTGGATCTCTCGCGCAAGCCCGGCAGCAAGGCAGGGAGCAACCCTGGCACAGTCAGAAGTCCACACTCCCTACACTGCAAAGGCAGAAGCACCTGAGGAAACAGTGCAGGAATGAAGGTCTTTTTCCGCCACTCCATGGTGTCTCTCATCGCCTTGAGCGCCTCAACAAGTGGAGTCACATAAAGTGCAAGCAAACAGGGCTGAGCTGCCTCTCCCCCCTCCCGGTTTCTGGAACTATTCAGTACTAGATACATCACACCAGGTCGATTGAACTCACTACCTCATGCACTGCCTGCCTTGTTGACGTCACCGTCTTGCATGCACAAGTAACCTTCGACATGCTGGCACAACAATCACATTTCGGGCTTGACATCTTGCAGCAGACTCGCTCTCAATGCTGGCTTGCTGCTTCGAACAAACTTGGAAATACAACGAAACTTAGAATGACCACTTTCATCATCAAGTGCCAGAAAGTCTGCTGAGGCTATGTGTGCATAGATTCATGGATCCTCTTCCGATGCTTTTGTCCAAGTCACGCATCAGCGTAGAGGTGGAATAAAACCCAAGTTCGCGTTCTTCGGCAGGGCTGCTTGGAGCACGACCTTGCAGGATCTCCACCTCGAATCGAGGCTGCGAGGCTGCAATAAATTGTGGAGACGGGCAGCAAGCGGCTCGGTTTGAAGGCACAACACCGGGCCGCGGGCCTGCACTCGCTCTCGCAGGGCGTCGAGGTTTCCTCTAGCCTGGCGAAACATCCAAGCGCAAGTTTTTGCTGCCCCCAAAGGTGTGCCAGGCTCCGTGCCTTCTGCATGCGTGCTTTGAGGCCAGACACGACCTGCAGAGCCAGAAGCCGAGCGAAGCCTCTCGCCGCGCTACGTGGACTCAGGGCTGCGCAATCTGATCCTCCTCGAGTGGAGCCTCGAGAGGCGCTTCTGGCGATGCCTCGCCTTACAAAAGGCGGCGCCCATCTTCCAGCCTTGTCTGGAAGCTCGGGCAGCTGCTGAGCCTTCACAGACCAAGGACGCTCCAAAAAGGAAGGGAACCTGCCTTCCACGGAAAGATCTCACAGAAGCGTCCGTGGTTTGGGGTCGCGACTTCGACGAATTCAAGAGTTCGCACGTCCGTCGGTCACATTAAGCTTCCCTTCAGCGACTGCGGAGCATAATGATAAACGATGCCGGCCCATCGTAAAGCTAGTCAACGCATGGACTTCGGCGCTTCCGTTCTTGTGCTCTCTCCACGTCCCATCCTAGGCAGCTTCTAGCATGGCTATGCGACACGATTTATAGTTTGAGGCTATACAGTATCAGCACCAAGCCAACGGCACAGTTTTTAAATAGTATTTATCGCTCTCTGCTGTTCTTCCAGCCGTGGAGCGAGCGCAAAATTCGACGACCCCTATGGAAGATGCGAAAAAGCCTTACATGCAACAAGCCTCACCCTCAATATCCACGCTCGAATCACCCCAGACACAACCGTATCGGCACGTAAGTCTGGGGCAGTGGGTCGGGTCGTCTAGCGGAAGCCTCTCTAAAGACCCCCTTTCAGCAGCCATCTGCCTCGAACTCTGCTGAAGCACCTTCCCAGGGTGACAGGTCCCAACAGCAATGAAACTCTGCAATCTGCTGGCAGCTGTCGGGTGCACGGCTCGACAGGGGCGGGGGAATGGCCATGGCTTCACAGCACGGCTCTTACTCCTTTCCTCTGAGCTGGCCTTCCGCGAGCGCGGAACCGGTCTTAGAAAAGCCAAAGTCCTGCTCAAGAGCTGCAAACGCCTCTCCTTCCCGCTCTGCGCTCAAGTCCTCAACACCCGGAGAGGTTGGTGATGCTCCCCAGCTGGAAGGAGAGGGATCACCGAAGCTGAGCCCACCTGAGTGAACAGAGCCTTGGGCTCGGCACCAATGCTAATGCCACTGCCGGCAAGGAGCACGTGGTCGTTGGCGTTTTGCCGTCTTCCAACTTTGAAGACGGCAACGTTTTCACATCCTCCACCTGCAAGGCAACCAGGCCTACCATGTTTCGTCTGTTGGCTTGCGGAATCCCCCCTTCCCGATTGTCGCAGCCTCCTCGGCCAGCGTCGCGCTGTCCACGACAAGGACCGTGTCAGCATCGGAGTTTCCGGGGCTGCTGCAACCTCGCAGAGCTGCGTGCCGAGTGAACTCTCAGCACTCTCCTGAGCCGGAGACAGCCCTTGCTCAGCCCGAAGAACTCGGCAAAGACCTGCAGCACCCGCTCCGAACATCGAAAGCGAACAGCACTCTGGCTGCTGGCTTCTTGCAGCCAAGTTTCCCCCGCCATTGCTCAACGTCGTGTTCAGACTTTCGAACACCACAGATACACAAAGCTTGATGACTTGGAGATGCGCTGCGACGTTTTATCAAGATCTGCGAGTCAGAAGTCTCTAGAACGAGCTCACATGCATGTTGCGTCGTGATGTCATGGTTCTTTTGCTTCATTTTTCTCAACTGCAGATGCACCTGGATCCCACAGTCGGCCATGTCGATGCAACACGAGACATGGATGGCTCTCTCACTTTTTTC